GATATCACAGTCTTTGACCCCAAGAGAAAATACCCATGACATCAAATTACCAGATACAATAAACTAGAGTACCTCAAATTTAAGGTTAGGCTTCCTGAGCCTTGAGTAATGGGTTCAAGTAAACTTAAACGAGTCCCTTCAACATGATCCCCCTAAGCAGCAGCGATAGTCCCCAGACCAGCAGAATCATCACCTGTGAACTGATTGGAAAGAAAATTCCCCAGCCCCAACCTAGACTTACTAAGGCAGAAACTCTGGGTATAGGGCGTAGCAATTTGACTTTTAACAAGTCCTTCAGGTGATTCTGATGCTTGGTAACATTTGAGGGATAATTTTTCAAGATTATATCTTGCCTATTAAAATTTGAGAGTGAAATTCTCAAAATTACACCTTGCTGAGATGGAACGACCCTACCTAGCTTTCCATTTGTACACAGGGGACATACTCAACATGTAATATGCATGCATGACAAAACACAGAGACAGAAAGGTCCCTGGACAATCCAAAAACTACTTAAAATTGGCTTTGGAATGCATTTTTTGTGATAATTGTGTACTAATGTCCAGTGTTTGGAGAAATTATATAGTAAGCAAAACAGTAACTTTTTGCTCTGAAGATATTATCAGAGTGATTCAAGTGGTAAAATCTTGTTTTTTGATCTCCGATACAGGTTCCAAACATAGGAAGTCTTTTGCTGACTCTTACAGAGTACCATTCTAAATTGAGACAGCCTTGCTTTCTTTAGAAGTATCCTTTCAAAATTTAAATAGCATGGGAAAATGTTCACAATATATTTTGTTAAAAAGTTATAGAACTTTATACCTATTTCATATATATATATATATATATATATATATATGTCAAAATTCAATTGTGGGTGTATGTGTGTGTGTCTACCACTACAATGGAAGCTTCGTTGAGGGCAAGGGCTGTGTCTATCTTGTTTCCTATTTTTATTTTCAGTGCCTAGCATATAGTAGGTGCCCAATAAACATGCTGACTACATGCACCCTGACTTTTTAAATAATAATATGAAGTCTTAATTTATTCATTCAAATCTAAGTTTTAGAATGATCAAATGATCTCTGTATCAACCACATTATTTGGCAAACAAATACATTTAAAACAAGCTTTGTATTTAAAAAAAAAATGCAGATGTTCTTAGGTTAGTGTTTCTTTGCTCCTGTTTTTTCCTTGCTGAGCCATCTGCCAGTCCTTCTCTGCAAGCTGACCTTTAAACCATGTCCAGTACATTGATGACATTGAAAAATATGAACTCTACTCAACTATAGGGAAGACATTTTTATTTTGTGACAATCTATGTTAAGTAGTGTCATGAACAGTAATGCTTACATCAGGAAGGCTATGGTTGCTATAACACCACAGGCATGGTATGAGTGGTTGAACTCTTCCATAGTGGGATAAATGACAGCTGCATCTATGATAATCCACCAGCCTGTAAAAAACTAAGACATAAAAAAGTGACACTAATGAGAAATTACAGTAATTTCATATTATTAGCTAAAAAGAAAGCAAAGTATTAAAGTGAAGAGATCCCTTCTAATGATTTTTTTTTAAGACTTTATTTTGAAGGGGCACCTCGGTGGCTCAGTCGTTAAGCATCTGCCTTGGGCTCAGATCATGATCCCAGGGTCCTTGGATTGAGCCCTGCATTGGGCTCCCTGCTCGGTGGGATGCCTGCTTCTCCTTCTCCCACTCCCCCTGCTTGTATTCCCTCTCTTGCTGTGTCTCTCTCTGTCAAATAAATAAATAATAATCTTAAAAAAAAAAAAAAAGAAAGAAAAGAAAAGACTTTAAGTAACCTCTACATCCATCATGGGCCTTGAACTTAACAACCCAAAGATCAAGAGTTGTGTGGTCCACTGACTGAGCCAGCCAGCTGCCCCTAAACTTAGATTTTTATTTGTTTATTTAAAACCCACTATTTAGAGCATATGACAACATAAAAGTATAAAACACAAGGATCAGATGCGTTGAGGGATTTGCAATGTAAATAAAAATTTTAACTACAAATTACTTCTAGGCAATACACTTTAGTGAGCTTCCTGTGTGTTTTTTTCTTTTGTTTTTGCTTTTTAATGAGATTGAGAAGAAAACTAACTCTGGATTATGAAAAAATACAATCATATCTCTCCACTGGTTTTGATCTGTTTCTTTCTTAAACACTTCCTGGTATCTTAATAGACTCATAAAAAGGAGGCATTATCCATATAATGAATAAATCCATATAATGAATAAATGTATAAAGCATACTATCTTATATACCATTTTTAACATGCATTTAAAGAAAACCAATCACTCTACTAATCATTTTTCAAACCGTAATGTTAACTCTTAAAATGGAGTAACTCTAACTCCCTCATAAACAAAACATCGTTTATTAAAATAAATTTAATGGTCAAAGATAAAATAAATAGTACATATTTAAAAACATCATACAGAATTCAAAACACATAAAAACAAACAGAACAAAATAATGAAGCCCCAAATTATCAATGACACTTACTAGAACACCAGCAGCAATGGAAGCAATAGTATTGCGCTTTTCCCCCCAGTCAATGCATTCTGAGCATCTCAAGCCTTCTAGAAATCCAGACATTTTTTTCAGGTCACTTAAAAAAAAAAAAAAAATCAACTCCATTAAAGTACTTCTATTTACTTGCTTCAAACATGAGTTATGTTCCCAGAAAATAATTAACAGTTCAGGAATAATTTAATGAAAGTCAAATACTTTATCTTGGCTACATATACTTTTTCAGAATATTTAATTTTTGATCAATTTCCACATTAAAACTTTGGAAAACAAAATTTGGACTCATTTAGCTTTTTTTTAATTTAAAAGATAGTTTTGGTATATTTAAGAAATATGAACAAAGGTGGGTATCCAAATATGGAAAAATTTTATAATGGTTATTGCACTAACATGGAGGAGAGAAAAAAGATAAACTTTGGCTCTCGGTTAAAGCATGCACTCAGATGTAAAAATATTTGTCTTGGGAATTTACACATTTTAACACAGAACATGTGTTTCTTCACACTCAGATTAAGAAATTAGACACTACACTGCAGGTCTTCTACTCACATCATTTCCTTTCACTTCATTATTTTTTCCAGAACCAATCCTGATTTTTGGTGTCATTTCTATATAAAGAACACCCATTTCATTTTAATATCTCTGTCTCTGATTCTAACAGATGGCTCCCAGTCAAAAGAAAGCACAAAATTGAAGCTAATATTAATTCAGACAAAAAAAAAAAAAATCCACTGCTGAATTACCATATATGAATAACTACAGCCGACCTAACAAATTACATAAAGCATTCCTCAGAGCCTGGCTATGCAGACCCGGCCTAAAACACTTCCGGAAATTATCTCTGTTTCAGAGTACTGAAAAAGCCTGAATTATGTATAACTTGCTAATTATCAAGACACGCCCAAACTCCGACAGAGAACCTGAATCCTTCTGTTAAGCTACTCTGTAGTCAGCAACCCTGACTGGCCAAAAACCATAATATTCTAAAAAAAGAGCAAGGAGTCCAATCGTAACATCCCTTTTAAGCATTAAATATTAACACCTGGGATTATAACCAGTGCTAATATGCTTTAGAACCAAGCTCAGTTTTTGAAAATTCGCCTTTAATTTTCCCTGGAAAGAAGCGCAATCCAGGATGTGTTACTTTCGGTTCATCCCTATGCCCCCGCCCCAACCATCCGTGTCCATTTTTCTTGGGTTTATTACCGGCACCCTGCTGCGCAAAGCCCGCCCCCAGACCCCGAGACCCCAGGTCTAGAGTGGACGCGGGCTGAGAGGATGTGGGAACTCGTTCTAGCTCGGCCACCCTCCTCCAAAAAGGAGCCCATGGGTGACAATCCCTCTCGGGGGCTGTTTCTCCAACCCTCAAGAACGGAACCTCGGTCATTTCCACGGATCCTGGGACGTTCCGGGGAGGGGCGCTATCTGGTAGCCCAGCGGGATCCGCACGCGGCCGTCCCGGAGGAAGCGGCCGGGAAGGGTCTAGAGAGACACAGCCCGAGCCCGCAGCCTCCCAGAGGGTGGAGATAACGACCCTATCAGCACCCGCCCGGCAGACCGCCCCGGGCCCGAGCACTCTCGAAAGGCTGTGGCGGCAACCCCCACCCCCCTCACTCCCGCCCGACACTTACGTCCAGCCCCGCCCTTGCAGTCGATCCCGAGCCCGGTGTCGTGCTGCGCGGGGCCGCCTCACTTTCTCCTAGTTTTCAGCCAAGAAAACAAAACAGCCACCGGCCACCGGGTACCCGGATGAAACAGGACCGCCCCCCGGAGCTCGGTCGCGCATGCGGGGAGCGGGGCTGAGGAAGCACAGCGGGGAGGGAGAAGAGCGGAGGGAGGGCCAAGAGCGGAGGGAGGGCCAGAGGGAGCCACGCCCACCGCGCCGAGGTCTGTGCTTGCTCCCGGCGCTGGCGGGCGGCCGGGGCTGTCCACCGCCCTCTTTCCGCCTCTGCACATCAGGAGTGGTAGGCTGAGTGCACCCGTCCAGGGGAGGCGTGGCAAGTCGCTCTTCCTTTGAAAGGAAAGTGTATGTTGGGCCTTTGTATCCGTTCAGTGTGAGATGGTAAGTGTTCTAGTGCTGCGGTTGGCTCCTCAGTTATCTCAGGGTGACAGGAAGAGTGACGGGTCCCGCGTGGTCCGAAAAGTGAATGTTTGCGGTACCCGCCTCCACTCTGTTTTTAAGTCTTGTTTATTTTCTCAGCGCCTGGCCCCGCCCTCGCTGTAGCTCCGCCTCCAGGAGGGGTGGAGTCACTCCAAGGAGGCGGGGAGGTCCGGGGTGAGTGCCTGCGGTGCGGTGCGGTGCGGTGCGGTGAAGTCCGAATCCCGGCGCGCTTCTGAGACTTGACCTTTTTTCCCCTTGGGGAAGGGCCAGATAATTTTCTTTATGAGGGCTTGTCCTGTTGTGCACTATAGGGTGTTTATTTGCATCCCCGGCCTCTGCCCCTAGATGCCAGGGTCATTCCGGCTGTTGGGACGGCCACAAATGTCTCAAGAGGCCAAATACCCCCTTTGCGGGAAGGTCATCCAGGTTGGAGCCGCTGTGAAGGAGACAATCTGGGTTTTGGGGAAGTGACCCTTTTCAAAAGCCGGAAGCAATGAAGTCTTGCCTACATGAACGACTTGTGGACGGGCTCCCGCTCAGAACTCTCGGTCCCGCTCCAGCGGCTCGAGTCGGGCGTCGGAGTCGCAGCCGGCCCCCGAACCCGAAAGAAGGCAGCGGTTGAAGGAGGAGATCCAGGAAGAGATCGCAGAGCAGAACCCCATTTTGCTTAAGTTAAAGGTTGCATGGGTCATTTGTCGTGAAGAGGGACGCAAGGTTCACCTTTTTTGCATATGAGGCTACAGTATTTGAGTAAGCTAGGAACCAAGATTATGTCGTTTAGTTTCTTTGATTTCCTTTGATGCGTAACATCTGTAGCTTTGTGCTTTTGAAGGGGGGGCATTAGCTGATTAGTAGGCAAAACTGGACAATGTAATCCATATAGCCTATTTTTAAGTGGACATCGTTCTTACCCCTCAGGGTTAAAGATTAATTATGACTGTTAAAGGGCTCGGGGTGAGGGGGGTAATATACTGCAGGCAGTTCGTAGAACCTTTTTAATACTTTTTAACGACTTAAGGTTCGCTTAGCAGCTCTGAGCAGGCTATAACAAATCTTGCCTTTGGCTTTTTTTTTTTTTTTAAGATTTTATTTGTTTATTTGACAGAGGGGGAGAGTGAGAGAAGGAACACAAGCAGGGCGAACAGAAAAAAGAGAAGCAGGACCCTGGAATCATGACATGAGCCGAAGGCAGATGCTTAAGGACTGAGCCACGCAGGTGCCCCTTGCCTTCAGCTTTTAGGTCAACTAATGACTAGGAGGAAAGGTATTAACTTTTCCTTTCTCTCTCTTTTTCTCTGCCCCCCCCCTTTTTTTACATTTACTGTAGTTAACAATGTATGTCAGGTATTTTATAAACATAAGTAATCACCTTTATGTTGCTTTTATAATAAAGTACATGCTTGATTTGTCATTCTTAGCCTTCTTGGAATATGTTGGAGTGTTTGTTTTCGTCTTTTCTACATACATTGGAGCTATTAGAAATAGCAAAAGTCAGCACAGCTGACTCTTTGGGAATAGCAACCTTGACTTGCTACCTGGTCTCAGAACTGTTCTTGTAGTTAAAGAATGGAATTTTGGAACAGGTATACCAAATAATGCAAAGTTGTAGATAAGCCAGATTTATCCAAACAGAACCTTCCCAAAAAACTATTGCCAGAAAGATCTGGTTAACTGTTTTTATTTTATTTACCTTACACTACACTTCTCAGAAAATCTAGCTAAATTTAGCTTGTTTATGTCAAAATAGCAGATCTGAAAATACTAAACAAGCTCTCACTGGTGGAAATGGGACGGTAATCAACTCTATTTTTCGTGACCAACCACACTAGATTGGGACTGGCCCTGAAAGTCCTATGTTACAAGAAACTCTTCCTGGATGTGAAGTCCTGGTTTTAGCAGTGAGTGCCATAGATTGGGGGTAGGGAGGAGATACAAAACCCATATTATGCTCCCCCCTAAAAGGAAGACAACACCGTTTTTAGTGACAGATGAATCCAGTGATTATCTGCCTTCTATTAACCGTTGACACTGGCAGCCATGATTTGTGATTCACAATCATGTATCAATGGTAGCATCCTTTCAGAGCAACTTAAATTCTAATCATGAGTGTTAACACTTGTGCTTTGGAGGGAGATAGCGCTGGTTTAATTTCTAACTTTGTGAATATTGTGCCATGTTTTCTAAGAATTGAGATACTGAACATGAGAGTGAGTACAATATCAACATCATGACCCAGACAATACCAAAAATAGAAGACTAAATGGCTGTATTATTTTAATGACAGATGGAAGGACACATACAACTGGATTCGGGAGGCAAATGATCCAAAGAGAGCATACTGTACAATCTGTGAGAAAAGAATTTGGGGTTGGGCATGGTGGAGAAGAGGATAGGAGAACGTGGACACTGAGCACCACAAGTCTGGAATGAGACAAGCAAGTACTTTTGAATCAAGGAAAGTCTTCATCTCTCAAAAAGACACCAATGCTCAATCAAAAATAGCAGTTCACCTCAGATCATGATGTCAGGACTAAGCCAAGGGTTGAGTTCTACACTGGGCATGGAGCCTACTTAAGATTATCTCTTTGCCCACCCATGCCCCCACTTCACAGGCTCATGGGCTCTCTATCTCTTAAAAAAAAAAAAAAAAAGCAGCTGCTGAATTAGCAGAGGCATACCACAGAAATGTTATCTTTTGGCTCCCTTGATTGCTCTTTGAAACTGGGTAAAGTTACATTTCCAGATTCAGAGGTTGTAACTAAAACGTCCTGTGGGTAGGTTCCTGGGTGGCTCAGTTGGTTAAGCAACTGCCTTCGGCTCAGGTCATGATCCCAGAATACTGGGATCGAGCTCCACGTTGGGCTCTCTGCTCTGTGGGAAGACTGCTTCTACCTTTCCTACTCCCCCTGCTTGTGTTCCTTCTCTCGATGTGTCTCTCTCTGTGAAATAAATAAATAAAATCTTTTAAAAAGGGGGAGGGGTGAATTTGATCACAGTTGTATTGGCCCCTTACAGCGTACACCTGATTCTGTAAGATCTTACAAATAATCATGCCTTCTACAGTATATCAAATGATGTGTTACATCATGGCAATAAAACTGTTCCTTCTAGTTCTTAGGTACTTTGATTTTAAAAATTAAGTTTCAAATTGTCTTCTTGATGGCTATGAAGATTTTAATGAAACCTTAGAAAACAATAAACAAAAGATCAAGCAAACAATACAAAAGCAATACAAACTAGATTTGGCTCACCTATCCGCATATTCAGCAGAGAGTATAGATGTAAATTTCAGCAAACTCCATTCAGTCTATAAACTTCTTACCAAAAAAAAGAAAACATCTCATCTGCTAAATGTTCTTATACACCACAGACTGCTAAAAAAGGGATGTGATTTGCTTTCTTGCAACACTGAGGCTTTCATAATGAAAGTTTTTGGTGACTTTAGTTTCCTGAAAACATGTAGAAGCACTTAATGAGACTTTTGACTTTTCGAAATGGAAGGAGATAGACACCTCAAGACATATGCCTATAAGATGATTTTCACTGTTGCCAGCCATAGAAAAGATGTTAAAATGTTGGCCATCAGTAAAATCCTATTTTCAAAGTGTGGGAAAAGATGAATATCCTTCTCTAATTTGGAAATCCATTGAAGGTGAGAATGGAGAAGAGGGTTAGAATATGACAGAAATTTATATGCTATTTCTCCAGACCTGCTTTTTGATCTTTGAAGAAGCTATCGGGAGCCTAGAAAAAGATAAGCTGCCTGCACCTGAGTTATTTGATGTTTGATGTTGTGTATAAGTTGCAACAAAAATTCATACAGTGAAAAAATGATTCATTTTTTGGAAAGAAGACTGCTTCAGAACTGAATTAAATGTTGCCAGAAAAGTGCAACCAAATTAAATTAGACTTTCTCCGTTTCTTTCCTAGAACGATAACTTATTTGGAATCCAATTTAAATTTCACAATTGAAATATGTCTGTGTTTGAAAACCACTTTCCCTGAGGAAGAGAGGTTGAACTTAACAGTGACATCCAGTGTGTTTCCATTTGAGACACAGACAACCTCTCTGATGAATTTATAGATGCAAAGGACCTGATTGACAAACAGCTCATCTACCAAAAGAAGCCTATAGACAAAAAATGGATGGACATTTTTGGAGAGCTGGAAACAAATTCCTACAAATCCAAAAGCCTGCTATTGCTCGTAAGTAAAAATCCAAAGTATTCTATGCTCGAATGTTTGTGCTGAGAGGCTGTTTCAGTTGATGTTATCGCATTGGACTGACACCAGCAATCGATGTAATGTGGGCTTGGTAAGAGCACAGCTGCAAGTCAAAGAGAACTTTATATTTGACTGGATTCAGTTTTACTGCTACATGAAAGAAAAGAAGGATGTCCTAAAGGCTGCGAGCAGTTCACAGAAGTATTATTGGAAAAGAAAACAGAAAGTAAAAATATCCTGTATTATAAGACAGAAAGAAACATGCCATTGTCATTTTAAATAAATATAGCAACATCTGTTTAGTTCATCTTACTGTATTTATGTTCTTTTATTTATTTATTTTTAAAGATTTTATTTATTTATTTGACAGAGCAAGAGAGATCACAAGTAGGCAGAGAGGCAGGCTGAGAAAGAGAGAGGGAAGCAGGCTCCCTGCTGAGCAGAGAGCCCAATGTGGGGCTTGATCCCAGGACCCTGAGATCATGACCTGAGTGGAAGGGAGAGGCTTTAAACCATTGAGCCACCCAGGCGCCCTGTGTTCTCCTTTTAAAAAGTTACACTTTTGGGGGGTGCCTGGGTCACTTGGTTAACTGTCCAACTCTTGGTTTCAGCTATGGTCATGATCTCATGGTTTGTAGGATCAAGCCCAGAGTCGGGCTCCATGCTCAGTGCAGAGTCTGCTTGGGATTTTCTCTCTCTCTCCTCTCCATCTACCCCTTCCCCTCACTCGCTCTCTCTCTCTTTCTCTCTAGGATAAATGAATAAATAAATCTTTTTAAAAAAGGCACATAGGGGCACCTATTCCAACAACGGAATGTATTCCTTGATTGGTACAGAGGCCTCCAAAAGACAAAACAACTATAAAATAGACTCTCTAGAAGAATCATTACAACAAACCAATGAAAAACTTAAGACCAAAGCTCTGACTAACACGAGTGACTTGAGCAACTTCCAACGAATCCCTCTGCTCCTCTTCAACCTCCCCTACCTGATTATTCTGAACCCACTAACCACTTTGATCTTGCCCTTTCCCTCCAAACCTTCTAAATTTCAGCTGTCCTTTAGGATAAGACCTTCTAATGAACCAGGGATCCTAGCCTCAGTAAGAGTTTAAACTCTGGTCTCAAGCCAAACTTTGAGCTATTGTAAGTGATATTCCAGACCCTAGAAAGGACCAAATTAAAATGATAGAACTTAAAATTTTTTCTTGGTGCCTATGTTCCTAGACTACCTGATTTTTACCAGTCTGTTAACATGATAGTGAGTCCAGAAGTTGCTCAAAAATGGCCCCAGGGGGTGCCTGGGTGTCTCTGTTGGGCATCTGACTTCAGCTCAGGTCATAATGTCAGAGTCCTGGGATTGGCCCCGCCTTCAGCTCTGTGCTCAGAGGGGAGTCTACTTGTCCCTCTCCCTCTACCACTGCCCTTCCCCCCTCTTGTGCACATACTCTGTCTCTCAAATAAATAAATAAATACCTTTTTTAAAAAAATGGCTTCAAGAAATATATTGGAGAGTCCCTACCTAAGATTTTTGGGAGCCCACCAAACATGCTTCTAGAGATAAATCAAAAGAGCAAAATAGTAAGTCAACAGCTTCTTGAAGCAATTCCCAGAGTTTTTCCTATGAAAATATACTGGGCTATAATATAATCCTGTAAACAAAAACTGGTGAGCCAGTGGCAGATTTCTGAATTCATTCAGATTTAATATTTAGACAACACACTGGCCATAAAAACCCTGGGACTAGTTTTGCCCTGTGTGCCCATTTTGTTAATGACCAGTACTCCTCAAACCTGCCCATCAAAAACAAGGGAAGTCTGAGAAACTGTCACAGCTACTATATGTCAACCTTATTCTGGGTGCCTGGGTGGCTCAGTCGGTTAAGTGTCTGCCTTCAGCTGAGGTCATGACTCCAGGGTCCTGGGATCAAGCCCTGCATCAGGCTCCCTGCTTAGCAGGAAGCCTGCTTCTCCCTCTCCTGCTCCCCCTGCTTGTGTTCCCTCTCTCACTGTATCTTTCTTCATCAAATAAAATAAAATCTTTAAAATAAAACAAAAGAAAAAAAACCTTATTCTTAGAGCATTTTTAAATGCAGTGAACTCTGTGAAGAGCACTTAAGCTTTCTCTTCTAACTCCACCAAGAGTCAGTGCTACTCAAAGTCAGTTTGTTAAAGACTTAGAGACCTAAAGCTTGAAGAAAACTGAGCTATCACGGTCATCCTCTGAGGGAACAGGCTCCAAGTTTTATGTAATTTGCTTTTGGATGTAGGAAAATAAATTGAGAAATGGGATTCACCCGTATCCAGCTTCCATTTCAATTTTCATTCCATTATCCACATGGATTGAACTTTTCTTTTTTAAATATTTTATTTATTTATTTCACAGAGATCACAAGTAGGCAGAGAGGCAGGCAGAGAGAGAGGAAGGGAAGCAGACTCCCTGCTGAGCAGAGAGCCCGATGGAGGGCTCGATCCCAGGACGCTGAGATCATGACCTGAGCTGAAGGCAGAGGCTTAACCCACGGAGCGACCCAGGCACCCCAGCATATGGAATGAACTTTAAAACATTGCAAACTTAAACTTCAGTAACATATTAAGAATTTTCTGGATAGGGGCGCCTGGGTGGCTCAGTGGGTTAAGCCTCTGCCTTCGGCTCGGGTCGTGGTCTCAGGGTCCTGAGATCGAGCCCCGCATCGGGCTCTCTGCTCAGCAGGGAGCCTGCTTCCCCCTCTCTCTCTGCCTGCCTCTCTGCCTACTGGTGATCTCTGTCTGTCAAATAAATAAATAAAATCTTTAAAAAAAAAAAGAATTTTCTGGATAGCATTGTTGCAAAAGTTGGCTTTGGTATCCCACTGGCATGGATGATAACCATAGTGTAACTACAGAGTTGGAAACTTAAACTTCAGCAAGTTACTAGACATTTTCTGGATAAAGGTGCAGGGTTTTGTTGGCTTTGCTCTCCTGTAGGCACTGGTTAACTGGTATATGGCTAAGCCTTTGTGCATGTGGTTTCTTTCTACTCCCTCTCCCTCAGCTCCTCCTCCCTCCCATGCACATGCTCTCTCTCTCTGAAAAAATGATGATACTAATCCAGTCAGAAAGACAATTGGATATGTGTATAGATAAAAAGAGATTGACCAAGTGTTGATAGTTGTTGAGGTTACATGATGAGCAGATGAAGGTCTCTTATCCTGCCATATTTACTCTTGTATATGCTTGAAGTTTTCCATTATCAAAAATTAAAAATTATTATATTATAAAAGATGAGACTGATGGGTGATAGGAGCTAGCTAGCAATAAAATAATGATGTGAAGGGCAGGTGGCACACCTGGTAAATTTTACTTTCTTCTACACTGTCTTTCTCCTATTTTAGCGTATAGGGACATAGCTGAACTCACTACGCTACCATTGTGAATTTTCAGTATCACGGTCTTATGGCTCTAAGGTCTTATACAAATCTCCATCTCCATCTATGGGGTTTCTTCATAGTCAAGGCAGGAGTATTGCAAGGACTGGTTCAGGGAATAAGCCTCTGACTTATTAAATCTTCTATTACAGGGGTGAGCTCTTTCTGGCCTCAGGTTTTTTTTTTAAATATTTTATTTATTTATTTGATAGAGAGAGAGAGTGCACAAGTAGGCAGAGCAGCAGGCAGAGAGAGAGGGAGAAGCAGGCTCTCCACTGAGCAGGGAGCCCAATGTGGGATTCAATCCCAGGACCCTGGGATCATGACCTGAGCCAAAAGCAGATGCTTAACCGACACCCAGCACCCTGCCCTCAGGTTTTAAGGGGTAGGGAGGAAGCAGTTTAGACAGATCAGTCTGAATTTTAATGGATTTGGTACTTCTGATTTTTTTCCCCACATCTGTGGAAGAGGCCCATAGAGTATCAAGGATTTCAAAGACATCTATTGCTCTACACTTCCATCAAATTTAATAGTCTCCTCAGGACAATCAATTTGGCCTTGGAAAACACATAATGCTTCAGTGTCTGATGAGTCTGAAAACTCTATTTCTCCCGAGGAAAATTTTATGTGGCCTTCTAATATAGAAAGCAGGTTTCTACCTAGGAAATTCACAAGGGCAATATCACATAATAGAAAGGTATGACTTTCAGAGAAAGGGCCAAGGGTAATGACAGTTATAGATTCCAGTAAAGGAATTCTTTGACCTTGACTAGAAACTTCCACTGCTAAAATATTTTTATTACTCCAAGTTCTTCATGTATAATGGTGTGGTTTCATGTATAATGATGGGCTGTAAAGTAAATAGAGTTGCTCTGATATCTACCAGCACGGTAGAAATTTCCCCCTATAAGTGTAGTTTAATTTTCCTTGTTGATTTAAGGAACTATTGGAAGTCGCTTACCAGGCAAATTCTCGGAGCCCTGTCACTATTGAAGGTGATCGTCAGAGTTTGGGAGTAGAGGGCTCTCTTACACGGCAACTGGATTGTTTAACGGGCCCTCCATTTAAAAGTGGGCAATCCTTGGGGCGCCTGGGTGGCTCAGCCATTAAGTGTCTGCCTTCAGCTCAGGTCATGATCCTAGCATCTGGGATCAAGTCCCATATAGGGCTCCCTGCTCAGCAGGGAGGCTGCTTCTCCCTCTCCAGCTCCCCTGTGCTTGTGTTCCCTCTCTTGCTATATCTCTGTCATAAATAAATTAAAAAAAAAACTTAAAAAAAAAGGTGGGCAATTCTTTTTCCAGTGTCTCTTTTGAGTACAGTATTTATACGCATCTCTGTCAACTGGGGCAAAACTTGGGGCAGGAGTGGATCTCTTGAAATTGGGTCAAGGGCCATGGAATTGTTGCAGCTCTAGGACTATGACTTTATTCATTTGATAGCCTTTTTGCTGTTCTATTATTCTTTCAAAATGTACAGCAGAAGGGGCATCTGGGTGGCTCAGTCTGTTAAGTGTCTGCCTTCAGCTCAGGTCCTGATCTCTGGATCCTGGGATAGAGCCCCGTATCAGACTCCCGTCTCAGTGGGGAGTCTTTTCTCTCTCCCTCTGCCTCTGCCCCTGCTCATGCACATTCTCTCTCTGTCTCTCAAATAAATAAAATCTTTTTAAAAAAATGTTGAAGGATGCCTGGGTGATTCAGTCGGTTAAGCGTCTGCCTTTGGCTCAGGTCATGATCCCAGAGTCCTGGGATTGAGTCCCATATAGGGCTCCTTGCTCAGCAGGGAGTCCGCTTCTCCCTCTGCCCCACCCCCTGCTTGTGCTCTCTTTCTCTGTCTCTCTCTCTCTCATTCATCCTCTCTCAAATAAAAAAAAACTTTAAAAAAAATTACTCATCAGTTGTGATAATAACAG